AAATAAAAACATTTGAAATATATTATCTCCTTTATTGCTCCATTTAAATATATTGAATATTTATATATAATTACCGTAAATTCTCTAATATTGGCCTGTATTCCAATAGCGGCCGGGACTCTAACATTGGCCGGTCTCGCTGTCAGAGGAGGTAAATAATGGCCGGTCTCTAATACAGGCCGGGGCTATAAACGTTTTTTCTGGGCATACCTCAACATTATACTTGTGGTAGTAACATACAAGTACCACAGCCCTGCGCAGCTGGACGACAGGCCCTGACTGCTGCCCGTCTGCGCGAGGAAGAGAACAGACACGCAGCAGAACAGGAGGAGCGCGAGTGATGAGGAGATTAAAGGGAGAGATGAAGAGGAGGAGAAAAACTGAGGAGGAGAATTAAACAGAATTGGAGGATTTTTTTTTTTTTTTTTACTTCAAACCAAGCGAGACATGGTAACTGTACTTTTTCAATAAATGAACCTAGTGTTTTATAGGTTCAAATAGACACAAAAGCTCATTTTTATTCATTCCACTGTTAGTCATTCGGCAGAGATTCTGCTACGTGACTGTTCATCTTATTTTAGCATTTGACCAATTAGATGAGCCCTTAAAGGATATATTAGCTACTGGAAATTAAGCTGAAGTCAAGAAAAAAGGTAAAAAGCTAATTGAAAAGTTAAAAAAGTAAAGTTTAAAATTATATTTAGGTTTATAAACTAAAAAATGGAAGTGCCAGTATCAGCTTTAATGCCTCTAGGGTTAAGTTGTACCAAAAAATGTGTTTCTTTCATCTCTCTCAGAGTGATTTTCATGAATTTATTAAAGAAGCACTTTTTTTATTTTTCTTAATATATTTGGGCAAGATGGCGTTTCTTGTTATTACTTGACATACGTTTTTTGCCATCAAAATATCCATATTTTTTGAATGTTATAAAAAAAAATAAGGTCTTTTCCTGGATTCCAGTAACATTGGCTTGAAATGTGGATTATCAGAGTATTTCACTGAGTTCCTATAAGGTTTAACATCAGCAGGAGTGGAAATAAATGGAGAATCTGCTTCCAGTTCCAATCTTTCCAACAGATATAAAAACCAGACAGTTTGGATCTCAGGGAGATTTTCTGTTTGAGCATTTTTCCTGTATTTTATAGGATTATTTCTATGAAGGGAACAGGAGCATTTCCAGCAGGGGAAGGCGGCCTGTAGATCAGGCCAGAGATCCGTCAGACAGGACAGTTTCTTCTATCATCAGATGAAGAGGAGAGCTTATTGATCTGCTTCCCTTTCTGTCGCTAAAAGCTGCTCAATCCATTTCACCTCAGGAGGCTCCTCTGCTTTCTTCTTCTCACCTTGGAGCAGATCTTCAGAAGATGAAGATGATGATGTTATTTATGGGTGAAGTTTGAACTTGCCGGATTACGGGAAATCTAGAATAAATTTAAACCTGGAATGAGTGCAGAAGAACACCTTTAAAATCAGAGTTTTTTAAAAGGAAGATGGAAAAAACTGGAATGATTTCTGCTGACAACCTGCATGGTTAGAAACAGCAGGTCCTCTGTTTCAGAAATAATGGATTTTAGCTTTGGTGTCACTTATTTATCTCCAGTCGACACTGAAGTGGCCACTGTTGCTTTTGTAAAACTCTTCACCTCACAGAGTGGGGTCACAGCCTAGCAACGCCGGGTCGGAACCATGGCAACAGCAGCTGCAGAGCCAGTCCAGCAATGCAGTAATTGGGCTTTCTGTTTCTCTGCCTGAGGAGGCAAACATGCAGAGATGCTTTATCACTGGAAACGGGAATGCTGAGAGACGCAGCGCGGTCAGCAGGAACGCTTTACACAAAGGTTTGAAAGCAGAAATACTTGAAAGGAGAAATACTTTAAAAGAGATTTTTAAATGGAAACATTTAGAAAGACAAACGTTAAAACGTAAAAGAGAAACATTTTAAAATCGAAACATTTTCATAGAGAAATGTTTTAAAAGAGAAATTTAAAAAAAACTAAACATTTTAAGAGAAACTTTTCTCTTTGAAATGTTTTCATAGAGAAATATTTTAAAATTGAAACTTTTTCATAGAGAAACGTTTTAAAATTGAAATTTTTTCAAAGTGAAACGTTTTAAGAGAAATATTTTAAAATTGAAACTTTTTGAAAGAGAAACATTTTGAAAGAGAATTGTTTTAAAATTAAAACATTTTCCTAGAGAAATGTTTTAAAAGAGAAATATTTAAAAAATGAAACATTTTAAAAGAGAAACGTTTGAAAATTGAAACATTTTCAAATTGAAACATTTTAAAAATCAAAAAATTTTTGAAACATGTTTTACAGCATAAATTCTTTGAAACAGGGAAAAAAAGAATTTTTAAAGAGAAACTTTTGAAAATTGAAAAATTTTCAAAGAGAAACGTTTTAAAAGAGAAATATTTTAAATTGTTAACATTTTAAAAGAGAAATGCTTTAAAATTTAAACATTTTAAGCGAAAATTTTGAAATTAAAACATTTTCATAGAGAAGTGTTTTAAAAGAGAATTTTTTTTAAAATGAAACATTTTAAGAGAAACTTTTCCCTTTGAAACGTTTTAAAAGAGAAATATTTTAAAATTGAAACTTTAAAAGAGAAACATTTTGAAAGAGAATTGTTTTAAAATTAAAACATTTTCCTAGAGAAATGTTTTAAAAGAGAAATATTTAAAAAATGAAACATTTTAAAAGAGAAACGTTTGAAAATTGAAACATTTTCAAAGAGAAAGGTTTTAAAAGAGAAATGTTTTAAAATTTAAACATTTTAAGAGAAACAGTTTAAATGAGATACATTTTAAAAGAGAAACATTTTCAAATTGAAACATTTTAAAAATCAAAAAATTTTTTAAACAAATGTTTTACAGCATAAATTAGAAAGAGAAACGTTTTAAAAGAGAAATATTTTGAATTGTAAACATTTTAAAAGAGAAATGCTTTAAAATTTAAACATTTTAAGAGAAAATTTTGAAATTGAAACATTTTAAAAGAGAAACGTTTTAAACGAGAAATATTTTAAGACAAACATTTTAAAGGAGAAGCATTTCAAAAGAGAAACATTTTCAAATTGAAACATTTTAAAAAACAGAAAAGTTTTTAAACAAATGTTTTACAGCATAAATTCTTTGAAACAGGGGAAAAAAAGGGATTTTTAAGAAAAGGCTGTAAAACATATATGCTGTAAAATGGAAAGATTTTAAACCAAATACTGTGAAACGATACCAATTTGAAACAGAAACACTTAAACCTTTTTAAACTGTGATCAGATCTCAACAGGGACTCTGATATCTGTGGTTCTATTTTCCTGGTTCAGTCAAACTCTCCTGTTCATCAGAACCTTATTGGGCTTATCACTTTATAAACTTTTCTTGCAGCAGAACCTCTGGATGCTTTGGAGTCAGAATAAACATTTCTGTTTCGGGTTAATCACTTTTAATAGTGGTCTGACCCTGATCAGGTGATTTAAAATTAGACGTTGGGATCAGTTCAGTTTTCAAGCTTTTCACTGAGGATTTCTGCAATTCAATCTGGGTTTTATGTCGGTTCTGGAGGGATGGCCTGGTTCTGAACCGTTCCATGAAAGAAAACGATCATCTCTGATCTGCTTCAGGAGCTTCCAACGGTTAGCTTTGAGTCACTCATTTATAAAACCCGGTTAATAAACAGTTAACAAACCCGGATTAACCTACCTGTTGGTCACAGATAGGGTTACAAACCATCCCTTGAAAAATGGAATCGTTCTGTATTTAGAAATAGAAGCACCTGTCCCGTATTTAGAGGAAAAGGAACACACTTTGTCCCGTATTATTTCTATTCTATTCACCAAATCATACAGTGAAATTGATTCAAAGTTTTCTATCTAAGGAAAACCAGTTGATTGTGATTTCGACTTATTGACTCAAAGGCAATCCCTCACACTAAGCAAGCTTGTAGTGACAGTGGAGAGGAAAAACTCCCTTTTAACATTAAGAAACATCCAGCAGAACCTATTCTTGATTTAACAGGAAGCCAATGAAGAGAAGCCAGGATAGGAGAGATATGATCTCTCTTTAATTTTCATCAGAACTCTGGCTGCAGCATTTTGGATCAGCTGAAGGCTTTTAACTACAGCTTGTGGACTTCCTGATAGTAAAGAATTACAATAGTCCAGCCTTGAAGTGACAAATGCATGCAAATCAATGCAGATTTGAGTCAAATAGTAAAAAAAACATGCAAAAAATCCCCATGCCTGGAGGGGTAAAGGCAGGGGTCAGCTGGCACGCACATGAGGGTTCCCTTTTTTTTCCCAGTGAGTTTGCAACTCTAGTCACAGACCCCACCTCCTTCCAGAACCGCACGATAGCGGGACACTGGACAGCCCAACAGGTGGAGGTTCACCTCCTCCTCTTGATATCTTAAGTTTTCCAGTTTAATCCAGCAGGAAGCAACCCCTTTTGCAGCGTTTCCTCAAAATACACCTGCAGGTTACCTGGAATGTTTGTATTAACCAATCAGAAGCATCTTCTAAGCATCCTCCTGTCACTGATGGTATTCTGAGAGGAAGCATCTGGTTCTGCTGCCTGAGAATGAAGCATAATAATGATTTATGGCGAATCTTCTGCATTCAGACCAACTGATGAGACCAAAGTTGGGATTTCCATCGTTGATCAGAGGGAAACTTTTTACAGAGGAGAGGAGAGGAGAGGAGAGGAAAGGAGAGGAGAGGAAAGGAAAGGAAAGGAAAGGAAAGGAAAGGAAAGGAAAGGAAAGGAAAGGAAAGGAAAGGAAAGGAGAGGAAAGGAAAGGAGAGGAGAGGGCGGAAGGCGTTCCCTCTGGGTGGTCCAGATCATCACTTTCCATTCTGCTCATGTTTCAGCTTCACAGCAGAGGGAGGGAGGGAGGTGAGGGGGGAGATACAGCAGTACAATGGGGGTGGGGGGTGCTGTGGAGGCGCTCATTAATGTGGATCTGGAGGATGAGAGGAGGGGAGCAGGAAGGCAGCTGCAGCAGGGAGCGACCGATGGCTTCGGTTCAGCATCCAAAGAGGAGGGAGGGGCGCTCCAGCTGAGCCACACATCACACGGACATGAGCGCGCTCAGTCTGCAGAGCCGCCGGCGAACAGCGTCCGCCTCCCTGCCACCAGGAGTGGAGTCCAGACCGCGGCGCCTCTTGGTGCGTCGGAGCGCAGCCTGAACAGCGGCGTCCTGCTGCTGAAGCTGCAGCTTCTGCAGGCGACCCGGGAAACGCGGCCGAACCGCAGCAGCCGGGACCGGATCTGGCACCTGGAGCCGGCGTCACCGAGGATCTGGGAGTCCTGCTGGGAGGTGATGAGTCCTGAGGAGGTCCTGGGGCGCGAGAGGCGCCGCCGGCTCAGGACGCCTCCTGCTGCCTCCCCCTAACATGCAGGTTCTGCAGATGGTGAAGGAGCTGGTGTCTCCATCCCGGCACCGGGCCGCAGCCCGCTTTGGAGGTGTGTCCACTCGCTCCCAGTGTTTCCCATCAGAACCACTTAGCTCAGTTTGTTCCAGCCTTATTGAAACCGTTTGTGGAAAGATTCTGGTTCTGGTTTGGTTTAATACTTTGCTGGGAGATGGATCCAGTCCAGAACCTCCTGTTGCTTCTTTAGCTGCTTTCAGACACGGTTCTGTTCAGAACGGGTCAGACTATGGACCAAGGGCCATAGAACTGGGTCCAGCTGCTGTCAGGAGCTCTGATAACTGGTACCAGGTTCCAAACCTCTCTGTGAAGGAGGTTTGACCCTGTTTGCACTGCTGAATTGCTTTGATTCGGAACCAGACACCTGTTGAAGCTCTTCAAGCTAACCGTCGGATCAGAATCGCTGCAGGTTTATGAGAACCTTCAGTCTTTCAGAACCGTTGAGTGGATTTCATTCTGGTTAGAGTTCTGTTGTTGGAGATGGAGGTTCTGCTGGCATGAATCCTGTTGGTCTCCACTAAGCACAGCAGGAATGTGGTACCAGAGCCAGAACCACAGTGGGAAAGGCTCCATTTGATTTGGATCCAACTTCAAACAGATGAAATGATCTGTTTTTATTTTTGCTATTATTTATCTGAAAGGTGCGGCAGGCCTCTGTCTCCAACCCTGCAGTCCTCTGAATAATGCTGGTCTTGTGCTTTAATAGTTGTGGGGGAGTCATATTTAAATGTTAAATCATTCAGGCTTAAACATGTATATAAATGTAATCTTTATCAGACGATATTGTCTCAAAATGTAGAAAATTTTTATAAAAAAAAAAAATCCTGTCTTAAAATCTTTTTTTTTTTCTCGTTATCTTATGCAGGCCAGTTAGTTATAAGTCAGCTTTTACACCTAAATTCAGCCAATCATATATCAACGGTCATCTGTCGTTCCTTGACAGTGTCGTTTCTAAGTCACCAATTTAGTGCTACTTGGTCCCAATGGAATTTCCCATTGGAACCTATTAGCACTAAGTTGCTAACTGGTTAGCAAGATGCTTCCGACAAACCGGCCACAACTAAACTTGCTGGCGAACCTTCTGGCACAACAATCCCGCCCCCTTGATAATCGTCCAATCATTCACTTTATTCACTGGTGTAAAGTCGGGCACCACTCGGGAGAATTCGGAAATGCAACGTTTGGAACAGCCGCTTCCCTACAACTTTAAACCATCTTCTGATGTGTTTGGGTGAAGTTCTGGACATGAACTGAACGGGTCGGTGACAGAAACCGCAGCAGAACCTGTTGGCAGCCGGTTCTGTTCTGTGGCTTAGTGCGGCTTACTGCAGCTCCACCTGGACTTAGGAACCAGCAGAGGATGATGCTGGGAGGCCCGGCTGGTTGCCATCCAGCTGCCTGGTTCTGTTCCTGTGGTTCTGTCCAAAGGTCCAGATCCTATCAGGACATTAAAGCGGAGGAGGAACCAGAGTTGTGGATCTCTTCTGGCCGCTTGGAGCTGAAAAGTCCTGATTTGGACTTTCAGAATCAGCTTTAATCAAATCAGAACCATGAAGAACATCATTACTGACTGCGTCCAGCTGGTCTGCCCCCACCCTACCTATTGCTGGCTGGTTCCTATAGGCTCAGTGTGAAGGCAGGTTTTCCTATCATTATGGGATGGAGCAGATGTTTAGGACCTGGTCCCTAATTAGTTCGTGTAGTTTGATTTAAAGCTCATTTTAGCGCCCCATACTGGATCTGCTGCTTTCGTTCTTATCAGTGAGTCACACCATGTTCAGTTGGCATAAAGATAAGACTTTGAAACACAGATTAAACTTTAAAAAATGCGTTTCTTAAAGAGACTGTTGATGAAAATGAAAGGAAATGACTTTAAAAAACGACCTGAAAAGTTGCTGAGATGTCGACTCCAGAGATGAACCCATTAAAGGGTTTCCTCTCGCTGTTTATTGAGAATCGACCTTTAAAGGAAAAGTTTGGTCATATTCAGAATTCAAACTTGTGAAAGTTCTTTAAATATGAAATTATTACATCCTGTTCAATAAATGATCAGTGTTTTTAATTCAGAGTAATTTTCATGTGAATGTGCTTTACTGGAGGCATCCCGGTTTGTCAAAGAACTCTACTGCCACCTACTGGTTTGTGACGTCACGGTGCGGTATCGGCTGTTGATCAAGTCCCAGGAGGATCAGGAATCAGAAAGAGAAAGGTGAAAAAACTTTTCTTTTTTTTTCACTTTTACCCGATGTATTCCAACATCCAGCTGCCATGCACGTGGTTATTGTCAGTTTCACTATAGCTCTGGTGAATTTCAATGGTGTCCTCTGGAAGTCCTCTGGAAATCTTCAATAATTGTTGTTGATTGCAGATGTGTCTAGTAGTTCCCATTGATTTAGCTTGTAAAGCGGGGAGAATGGCGCTAGGCTTACCGCACCGTGACGTCACTGCTGGAAGATGGCAGGAGGGAGGGGTTACTATATTTGGGAAGAAATGGCCGCTCCCAGACTCAGTGATCACAACAAAAGTTATTGTTTTTATGTTTTTACTGATCCCGCTAAATTAAATAAATCAGCGCCAATGGTTGGTTTAAGATATAAATAATAATCCATTGATTATTCCTTGCTGACCAGACTTTTCCTTTATAGCCTCAGGGATGATGATGATGATGGTGATGATGAGGATGGTGATGATGATGATGATGATGATGATGATGAGGGTGATGGTGATGATGATGGTGAGGATGATGGTGGTGATGATGATGAGGATGGTGATGATGAGGATGATGATGTTGATGATGAGGATGATGATGGTGATGATGATGGTGATGATGAGGATGATGGTGATGGTGAGGATGATGATGATGAGGATGATGATGGTGATGATGATGAGGATGATGATGATGATGAGGATGATGATGGTGATGATGAGGATGATGATGTGATGATGATGGTGATGATGAGGATGATGGTGATGGTGAGGATGATGATGGTGATGAGGATGATGATAGTGATGATGATGATGGTGATGATGATGAGGATGGTGATGATGAGGATGATGGTGAGGATGATGATGGTGATGATGAGGATGATGGTGATGGTGAGGGTGATGATGCTGATGATGAGGATGATGGTGATGGTGAGGATGATGATGATGATGGTGATGATGAGGGTGATGGTGGTGATGAGGATGATGATGATGGTGATGATGATGATGAGGATGATGATGAGGATGGTGATGATGAGGGTGATGGTGATGATGATGGTGGTGATGATGATGAGGATGGTGATGATGAGGATGATGATGTTGATGATGAGGATGATGATGGTGATGATGATGGTGATGATGAGGATGATGGTGATGGTGAGGGTGATGATGGTGATGATGAGGATGATGGTGATGGTGAGGATGATGATGATGATGGTGATGATGAGGGTGATGGTGGTGATGAGGATGATGATGATGGTGATGAGGATGATGAGGATGATGAGGATGGTGATGATGAGGATGATGGTGATGGTGAGGATGATGGTGATGATGGTGATGATGATGATGAGGATGGTGATGAGGATGGTGATGATGAGGATGGTGATGAGGATGGTGATGATGATAATGGTGATGGTGATGATGATGGTGATGAGGATGATGATGATGAGGATGATGGTGAGGATGATGATGGTGACGATGAGGATGATGATGATGATGATGGTGAGGATGATGATGATGGTGATGATGATGAGGACGGTGATGATGGTGATGATGATGATGATGGTGATGGTGATGATGACGAGGATGGTGATAATGGTGATGAGGATGATGATGATGAGGATGATGGTGATGGTGATGATGAGGATGATGGTGAGGATGATGATGGTGATGATGACGATGAGGATGATGATGATGGTGATGATGACGGTGATGATGATGATGATGGTGATGGTGAGGATGATGATGATGATGGTGGTTTCTCTGGAGGCTGCTGTGTCTCTACTCCATATGAAATGTTCAGTCTGAGGCTTTCTAACCTCCACAGTTTCTCCAGGTTCTCCATCTTACTGTCGCCTTTGTTTTAATTTTGCTGCATTTATTTGCTGCCTTCAGAGGGAACTGAGATAGAGATCAGCAGCTGGAAGCGGTGCAGCTGCTGGCGCTCTATCTCTGAGTGTGAGAGGAGCCCTCATAGAAATATTTCATGCAGATCTATAATGATCTATAATGAACGCTACAGAGTAAATTAACTGAGTTTTTTTTTTGTTTGTTTATTTTACTTTCAGCCATGGGTTCATTTGTTGTCGTTTCTTTATGGAAGTGATGATGCAATTAAATATGATTTTAGAAGAGCAGCATAGGAACTTGACCTGATGACATCTTTTAAACTAATTAGCATTATTTTTAGCACATTTAGCAACATTAGCATGGCTAACAGACAGGGCCCTCTGGGCGTTCAATTCACTAGAACGTGAGTACGGACTCGTGTCCTCCCCAAGTACGTTCTTCAGAAGAACACAGGAAAGTGTGGACTCTGGGAGAACGGAAGCACGCAGCATAAATATGGATAAATTGGAACAGAAGCGTACTGATGACATCACCACACGCTCTGCTCGTCTGGAGCTGCATTTCACCTCCTGTTATTAATAGTCTTTAGATTATAATAAATTTTGACTTTTTTTATTTAGTGGGTGAATAATAATAAACACAGTCAGATAAACTCAAATCACATGAACAAATAAAAAAAAAACTCGCCATCAGAGCCAGCAGTCCTCTCAACTTTGGAACTTTTTTAAATTACACATTAAATCAGTAAATTGGCCATACAATGACGCTTAAAAGTATAACATTCTCGCCTCAATTGATCTTAAAACGTACTTTTACTGAACAACAGCAACAGAAAAGAGAACTTTAAACTTAATACTCTGAGCTCTATCAGCTGCTCCTGCAGTGCATGCTGGGACAGCTGTCAATCTCAAGAACGGACAAGTCTGCTCTGATGCATGCTGGGTAAATAGGGAGGAGTGAGAACAACATGCGGGGACTTTG